GTAAGATTATGTGACGATACAAAAATTCATGAGGACAGTTGTATTAAATATTTTGTAAGAAAAATTATCTTTTAATTTTAAATATTATTTAATCTTATTTTTGACTATTTATGAGGTCATAATAACTCCAGCTGATAAACTTTGATGCATAGGTCTTAATTTATTAATTTGTTGCCTTTCATTATTATTAATTGGAGGTAATGGACTATTTACTCTATTAAAACTTCCTCTGATATTATTTACTACTCCATTTTGTCCTCCCCCAGTCCAGCCACTTTGAATTGAAAATACTGAAGGTCTAATTTGTCCAATATTTTGTTTTGTCTTTTCTTCACGTAATGTTTGTGTTGTTGATTTTATATTGGAAGTATTCGAGTTTAAAACTGAAGAAAATACTGACGCAAAAATAAAAACTTCTAATCCACTCATAAATTCACTAAGAGGTCCAGTGCCCATTGAAGAACCAGGACCGAATATCTAAATTTTTATAAATAAATTTTGACAAAAAAATATTAGAAAATTTACTTTTTCCCACAAAAATGGTCCAAAATGAGGAATAAATGCAAGAAAAAATTCATTAACAATTGCAAGCATTGTCAATTTATTATTTTTTGTTTGTTGCTTTTTACGTTGTTCATTAATTACTAAAAATTAAAAAAAAATATAGAGAATTAATAATAAATTATTTAAATTACCTAAAGCTGTAGCAGGAAATGGCTGTTGTAAATTACCTCCCAACATAAATTTTTTGTTGGATTTGTAGAGAAGAATACAAAATAATACTCCACTGCTAAAATTAAATACTGAACATATTGCTCTCCAACCAAGATATACTTCTACAGCTGGGCCAAGTATGCAACCAAATATTTCACATTCTAATAAGTTAATTCTTATAATAATTTCATATAGTTTTTTAAAATAAGTTTGTTAAATTATGCAGCCATGATGATGATGTAATAAATACTATACGATTCCTATCCCCAAATTTGAAACTTATTGAGACCTACATATTTGTTACATTATACCCCAATGATAAGTTTAGCCCAGACACTATCGCCATTTCATCACTGAATATTAATCAAAACCCAGCTAAACTATTCGAATTAAACGAATTAATATAATGGATGTCAAAGTTTAAGACAGAATTTGTTGCTAAAAATTAATTTTAAAATCTATCTCACTCGTTTGTTCAGGCATATTATTTAATGCAGATAAAAATCCATTCGCGCAAATTCCAAGTCCAGTAAGAATAACCAAAACATACGAATAAATAACCAATTTATTTGTTCGTTGTCCACCTGCAAAACCATATGTTATGACGAGAATTCGATCAAGAGTTAGATAGAAAACAGAAACTGGGATTGCAGCAAGCGCCATATGGGCAGGTAAAGCAATCAGAAAGAGAGTTAAACTGTTGTGATAAATTTCTGAAATTTAATTTAAATTATTTTTATTAAAATTTTGTAAATTTAAAAACACTCTAGGAAATTTTAGAAAATAAATCACGGATAATTTGTAACCTGACTATCTAATAATTTAATAATTTATATTACCCTCAACAGGTCTCCATACAGCAATTCCATAGCCTTCATAAGGTATTAATAGGGTACATACAAAAGTCCAATTAATAAGTAGACAAACAAGAAAAGGGGCCATTTCCTTCTTTTTATCAATTTTGTGTTTAAAAATAAGTCCAATGCGTACAAGAGCCGCAGAATGAAGGAGAAAAGCAATAAGAAATTCAAAAATTGTTAAAAATTGTCCAGACATTTTTTAGAATTCTAAACTTGATTTTAAAATTTATTTGAAAAAGGTTGATGAAATTAATTAAAAAAAGTTATTATTTATGTTTAAAGAAAATATTTAAATGTCTTTAAATTAAAAGGAAATAATTTAAATTTGTATTTTAAATGTAACGTTTAATAATACAAAAAATAATAATGGCACGAAATAACGTTAAATATAAATATTTATTTAATGTCAGTTACACGCTTAACTCATGTTTACATATTATTTTAAAAAATGTTAAGATGCACGCAAGTCCAAATTTTAATTTAATCACGATTTTGTTAAAGAATAAAAGTTAAAAATTAAAAATTTTTAAAAAATATTTAATTGGAAATTAAAATGTTTTTATTTCAAATATACTTACCGTATTTCCTATACCAGAGCCCCGTGGGCTCTATTTTTCAACTATCCTCCAAGGTGGGGTACTAATCGAGGGTGGGGCACTAATATAGGAAATACGGTATATTTATTTTGAATTTTAAGTAATTTTCGGCAATGGTTAATATTGATAATTTCGAGTATTGTCACGTGCCGAACACTTAATAATCTAAGTAACTAAATATATTATTTTAGAAAAACCAAAAATATTCAATACCTGATTAAAAATACTATTTATATTTAATTTAATATCAGAGTAAAATCATTTTTAACTTAAATAAAATTAATAATTTTTTCTATAATAATTTTATATATTATTTATTTAACTAAAAATAACGTTTTTAACGCACCTATTAATTTAAAGAACCGGAAAGTGTTTTTAAAATAATTTTTAAATATTTTAGTTTATACTAAATTTCTAAATATGTAAAAATAATTTAATTATTTATTTATTTTTTACAAATAGAGAAAAGTTAATCTTTTTTTAACTTTAAAAAAATAAATAATTTAATTAAAAATAATTTGCAAAAAATTTAGAAACAGGTGTGGGCTATTTTAATTTAATTTATCTTAAAATTGCAAATTATTATTGTAGATTATTGAGCCAAAAACTAAAGATTTTTAGTTACTAAAAAGGATTTTTGTTTGAAGACTTTTTTCTAAATGATAAATACCTAATTCTTCAAGCTTAAATAAAAATAACAAAAATAGATTAAATAATTAAATATCTAACAAGTTGATTTTTAACAATTAAAAAATTCTTTCGGCATTTAGATAAAAAGTAAAAATAACGGAAACAAGTAAATAATAAACTAAAATCGCTTTAAAGACCAACAAATATAAAATATAAAATTAACAAATATAAAATTTATATAAAAATAAATATTTTTAATTTAAATATTAAATAAAAAACATTTATGTAATGAATAATAAATGTTTATTGCTTATAAAAATGAATATATGTATTTAAAATAATAAAAAAATTATTTTTAAAATTTAAATAATAAAAACAATTTTAGCATAAATTATTATATTATATTTAAAAGATTAATTATTTAATTAATTATTCTAAAATAAAAATTAACGTAAAAAATATTTACAATTATCTAAAAAGTTAATGTCAAAGAGTGAGCAATAAAATAAAATAAAATTTTAATTTACGTAATTATGGAAATGTTTTTGATTTATTTTTATTTATTTTCAGGTGGAAATTTATTGGAAATTGTCTGTTAGCCAGGTGTTTGTTTTAATATTTTTAAATGATAACATTAATTGTATTTACTTATTTTTATTGTTATTTCCACCTGGAAATATTTGCTTGTTTTTAAGAAAATAAAATTGAAGATTTTTATTTTAAATAAAAATTAATAAATAAAAATCTTGAGAAGTTTTAATTAAAAGTTTGAGTAAAAGGTATTAATAACGAGTATGGCGAATTAAGAACACTTTTTGTTTTTGTCATATCTTTCTTTAAAGTCACTTGAATTTAAATCTGATTAAACTTTCTACTTAAATTTTAATTAAAATCGTGTGAAAAATTCGACGATTGACGCAAATAAATGTTTAGTAATTGTGAGAAAAGAACTTTTTAATAATAATAATTGTTTTAAATGTTAATCTAAAAATAAAAAAAAATAGACAGATGCTGAGATAATTTTAAATTATAAAATATAGTTTATTAAATTATAATGAGATTTTTGAATTAATTCTGGCAATTAATTTATTTTTGTCGTGACATTTAATCCAATTTTAAAATTAGAAACGAAAAATTCTTTTTATTCGAAACATTAAATACAATTGTTAATTAACATCTGGTATATTTTGTTTATAGTTTATTTAATTTTTGTGGGTTTTTAAAACTTCCGAATGGATTTAAATTTGGTTCGTCTTTCTAGTATTAAAAATTTTAACAATTAATTTATTATCACAAAACAGAAATATTTGCAGTCGAGATGCATTAAGAATTTATTAACACAATGACAACACTTGATAACAGGTGTGGCGCTAATACCACAAAATACAACGAAATTCACGAGATACGAGATCTCTCAAAAAATACGAGACCCTTAAAGTTTAACATGTTTAGGCTTATCATACCTTGATTTTGCTAAAAGTTTTATAAAATAAATAATTTAATAATATTTACTAAATATTTTTTCTTTATAACTCTACATAATACACTAATTTTTTCACAAAAAATAACAAAATTTTCCTTTTTAAAGCTATTATATAGTATATAAAAATCAACTTCCAAAAAATATTCTTTTTTTAATTACGACCAAAAACTGGTAAATCTTTGTTTAAATAACCTTTGTGTATGTAAGCCGCGTCATCCTTTAGCCGTTCTCTCGATCGTTGTGGCGACGTGAGGCTGAGAGAGTTTTATTAATATGTAGAGGTTAAAAAAATTAATAATATGTTGGTAAAGAAAAGCTTGTTAGGGCACATAATAGTATCTAATAATTCATCGTCTGGTTTTAATTATTCTTTACATTTTTCTTCCAATTTCCAATAAATACATATCATAAAATCTTTTGCATAAAATAATATTAATCAATTAAATATATATTTTTGACAAATAATTTTAAAATATGCCTTAAAATCACAAAAACGGATTTATGATTCAAGCTTTTTATCTAAGTAAATTGCTATAATATAGTAGAATAATCTCATCAAAATGCAAGTCCTTTTTTAGATAGTTAATTTACCAATTTATTATTACAAAGATTTCTTTTATTAGATGATATCCTATAAATTCCCATCTTGAATGAGTATCTCAATAATTATTAACAATATCATATTTACCTCAAATATTTCTTTACTTATTTAGATATATGTTTTTACAAAAACGGGTTAATTTAAGAATTAATCTAAGAATTATCATTATTTTCATAATATTTCTACCATTATCAACAAAATCCCAATCTACAGTAATAGGACCTCTGACAGAAAATTTTGTTAGTTGGTTGATAGCAAATGGGTATGAACAAGATGCTTTTGATAGACCGGATATTGGACCAAGTGGAAGTTTTGGTGGAAAGATTAATTCAGCACAGCAAGTACAGAAATAGATATTAAAATTAAATATTTAAATAATTATAATAATTAGTAAAATATATGTTTATTAGAATATCTAAATTGAAAATATTAAAAATTCAACATAACTATAAAATTTTTCAAAATTCGGAGTTATAAAATAAATAAAATTAATTAATTCACTTGTTTAGATCCACATGGATTACCTGTCTTAATAAAATAAATTATTTTAGATACAAAAAGAACCAGTTATCTTTATTCATGGCACTGTATGTTTCCTCAATTTAATTAGGATAATAATTTAAAATTATTTTTAATTGAAAGGGGGATGCTGCTTTGCATACTCAAGGCCCCCAAGCAACCGGTATTTTAATTAACTATCTGAAGAAATATTTAAAAATATAGGTTGGACAAGGTCTATTCAATACTTTATGGAACAGAATGTTAGATTTTTTATTTAAATTTAAACAGACTAATTAAGTAATTAATTTTTTATATTATTTCAGTATACCTCAGCAGAATTGTAAGCAAAATAATTTTTTGTTGAGTTGAGATGATTTTTTGGTTTTATTAGATATGCAACTACATGGGGGGATACTTGGGGTACAGGAAATATTTTTGGTAATTTCCATTTTATTTGGCTACTAAATTTAAAATGTAAAAAGATGGCTATAACACAATGCATACTTGTTCTTATTTGGTTGATTTAAGGTTTTTAAGGAATATTTTTTTATTTGGAAATTAATTTTTAATATTTCTTAGACGTTTTCTAGAGGCTATACTTGCTTATACTGGTGCTCCAAAAGTTGATATAATAGCACATTCAATGGGGGTTGTTTTGGCTAGAAAAGTAATTAAGGGAGGTGAATTAATTGCTACAGATGGAAATTGTTCTTTAGGTTAGAACTGAATTAAAAATTTAAAACAGTCAAAAAAAATTTTCAGGTCGTCCACTCTCTGAACGGATCGACACATTTTTGGGCAGTAAAATAAATATTGCTTATTAATTGAATATTTAATTAATTATAATTAATTTAGGAATTGCTGGGCCAAATTATGGAATTTGTGTCTGTCAATTGGCACAAACGGTTCCCGCATGGTGTAACGCTTTGGATGTTAGTTAAAGAAAATTTAATTTTAAAAGAAAAATTCTATATATAATTTTAATTTTGTTAGTTACATTAATATAACAATTTTAAAACTAATTTAAAATTTAGACCAACCAATTATTTTATTTTCATTTTATCAATTAAATATGAAACCAAATCTTTAATAATAACAAACTTTAAAGGGTTTATATCCTGGTTATACATGTGACGATCAATTACTTTGTGGCTATACAACATCTCCTTGTGGGGAACAAGTTAATTATTCTGCATTTTTGGAAAAATTAAATAGAAACCCATCAAGAGAAGCTGATTATATTTTTGCATTTTGGTAATTAATTTAAAGTATACTTCCCAAAAATAAGGTCCAATATACGTGGTCATTTGTAATTAATAGAGTATGTAAGTTAAATTTGGTTAAATAAAATAAGAGTAATTTGTTATATGTACTTTAACTAAAAATTTTTAATTTCAAAGGTCGGATACAGATGAGATACTTCTCTACAAAAGTTTGAGGTTATTTATTGTCTTTATTTTATTTTTCTGATTAATGTAAATACCTATAACATTTAGTAAGAGATATATGTAAGTTAAAGTAGTATTTCTGATTAGAAAAGTAGCAACAAAAATATACATACAATAATTTTAATTTCCAGTTGGGGAAAACCAACAGCAAGAATTCCCGGAATGAATGGTAGATGGGTTTCTGACAGGTAGATATTATATAGATAATTCTCTGATTAAATCAATTATGCTTAAAAGGCTTGGACATATTGCAATGAAAGATTATACAGAATTAAGGCAATTTGAAGCAGTAACCACACATCGAGTTTAATTATTTTTATAAATTATTCCTCCCAATATTTAAAGGATATCCTTATTAGAGATCGGTCTGGATCCGACTACAGTCTGGGTTTTTCCTGGATCAAGATTAAGAATCCTGTCCAGGTTACTAACCTAAATCCAGATACGAATTTTGAAAATGCCGATCTCTAATTTGGAATTAAATACATATCTTCCCAAATTTTTATAAAAAAATAATCTAGTTTTCATACATTTCAGAGGTTGATCCCCTCAAATTTTTTCCTTTAGATTACCTGACTAATCCAATTCTGGCTTATCCAGCCCGTCTCTGTTGTTAAGATTTAATTTTAAATTTTGAAATAATTCAAACGAAACAACTATCTGAGCATAACTAAATTATTTAATTTATTAATTAATATTTCATTAAATTCAAAATTCAATTTTTCATTATCCCTCCTTTATTTACATTAATTTTATCAAAAATAAATAAATTGTCTCATTTTATTTATTAGAATTGTGGCCTAGCAACACTAGTTAGCTTTCTGTATTTTGTTTTTGAAGTAAACCATTTTTACGCCTTTCGTTAATAAAATTTGCAACAATATTTTTATTCATTGGTTGATGTGCTAATAAAAATTTAGTTGAAATAATTGCATTTCCATTAAATCTTTGATTTGGGTTTAACTTTAAACTAAAAAACATTGTTGGACAAAAAAGTTTTTTCAATTACCATCCATAAATTAATTCCTCCGTAAATCCATTTCCAATTGCTATTAATTCTTTCTCAGAAAGTAAAGCAAAAATATGTTCAGGTTTAATAATTAAAGATTCTGTTGACTTTATATCCATGTTTAAATCATTTTTGAATGGAAATTGTCCCAATGCCATTTCTGCCAACGAAATGCCCAAACTCCAAATATCACTAGCCACGCTAATAAAAAAATATTTTAAATAATTTTTAATTATTTTTACTTGTAAACATTCCCATTTATTCTCTCCGGTGCCATATAAACCTATCAATTTATTTTAAAAAAACAGTAATATTTTTAATATAATCAACCTTAGTGCCTACATAGGACCAAGCAATTGATTGTGCCATTTGTTTAGAAACAACAAAATCTGCTAATTTAACTTCCCCAAAAGAATTTACAAGAAAATTGCTTGGCTTTATATCTCTAAAATTATTTTTTTAAATTAAAAAATCTTTATTTTTTAACACCTATGTATAATAGAATTATCCCAAAGGTGTTTAAGTCCTTCCACAATAGCTACTGTACAAGCACCAAGTACTAGAGGGTGTAATTGTCCATATAAATCTAAAGAAAGGGCATCCATTAATTCCTTAATTTTTTAAAATTTATTAGGGTTTTTAAAAATTTTATTTTGAAAAAACCATGCAAATTAAAAGATTATTCTCGACAAATAAAGCGGCGTGAAATGTAACGATATTTGGATGGGCACTTTTCTTTAAAATAACAAAATAAATTTTATAAATTAAAATATGCCTACTTTTAAAATAGCAATTTCATTTAATAGTCCCTGCCTTGTTCCATTACCCCCGTCTAAAGCTAAACATTTAATTGCTAATAAACGATCGTTTTTTACATCAAGTGCTCTATTAAAAATAAATTATTTTTAAAATTAATTTAGAATAATTAATTAATTTATTTACTTGTAAACTGTCCCAAATTGCCCTTCAGACAAGCATTCAATTAATTGCAAATCTTCTGGTCCAAAAATTATGTTTGTATTTGGACTTGAATTTCTTTAAATTTTAATTAATTTTTTGTCTTTATTTAAATCTTTTACCTAATTTGTTTATCAAATAATATTTTTTTATTTTTCACTCCATTATTCCCTTCCATAACAATTTCAGGTAATGTCAATGAACAACATTCTTGATTATTATTTAAATAACTATCCAAAACTCCATCATCCTCTTCCTCAATACTTAATTGTTGAGAAATTATTAAATTATTTGATTTTAATTTAATTTCCAATTTTTTATTGTTTTCTTCAAAATTACGAATAACTTCAACTAAAAATGTTTGTAATTCATCATCTGAACGAACAGAAACTTTATCACCATCTTCATCACAATCTAATAAATTATATTTTTTATAAAAATATTTTAATTAAATTTAAAAATTTTATTTGTCTAATTTTAAATTATTTTTTTATTTTTAAAAATTATGTAAATTTTGATTTAATTTTTCTAATTAATATGTCCTTTACAAATATTTTTAATTAAAAACAAACATTCAAAAAAATCATAAAAAGTTTTTATATTTGGAAAAGCTGCATTTAAAGAAGCCTGAAAATTTAATTTAAAAATAATTTTTACAAATTAAAAACCATTAAAGTATCAAAAAACATTAAAGTTATATCATCTATTTTTACTTCTTTCTTCTCTTCTTCAGCTGTGACAAAAATATTAAGAGGCATTTTGTAAATATAACAATTTTTATAATAAGCTTTTCTGATAATATTTTTCAAAAATTAAAAATAGATGTTGTGAAATAAATGACAATGAAAAATGATTAAAATTAAAATTTTTATCAACTGGAATTAATTTCTCTACAATAAATCAAATTATTCTGAAGTTCCAAAATTTGTAAGGGGTTTTTGTATTACAAAAACTGTCAAAATATAAAATTAAAAATAATTATATTTGTAATTTTATTCATTTTATATCACGCAGATAACGACCACACGAATGTATATTTAATAATTAATTTTATGGCAAAAATGCTTTCAATCATTTTAAATATTTCATCAAAAAAGTTGAAAAATTTTGGTAATTAAAGAAGAAAAAAGAGAGAAAGAATTTACGTGCATTCCATTTACCTTTCCCTTTAATTTCCTCTTTTTTTTGGACGTTTAATTAAAAAAATTAAAATAATTAAAAGACAAAAACACAAAATTATTTTGTCATCACAAACCCGCATTCCATTCCCTTTAATTAATTAATCAAAACTTTTTAAAAATTTTTATTTGATAATTTTTGATTCATCATTTTGTGTCATTTTTTATATTAAATTGTATTTATTAAAGAAAGAGATAGGGAAAAATTTTTTAATAAAAATTTAAAATATAATGAATTAATTTAAGATTTGTTTTTAGAAGTTAAAAGAATTTGTTTAAAAATTCAGAAAAAAATAAATATTTATCTAGTTTATCTCTTAAAAGTATTTTTTAAAGAAACCATTTTTGTGTTCATATTGTAAATATCTTTGAGACATAATTTCAGTTTATCTAAACCTAATATTTTAAATTTAATTTAATATATGTATTAATTCATGATGCTAATGATAGCTAAACTATAAACTTTAAAGTTTAATTTCAATTAATATTTACTAAAAAATCAATTTATTTATTTCCTCTAATCTTTTAATATTTTTTATCACATTTTATTTCATTTATATTTTATAATTTTACTTATCAGTTCTTTCCAATTTCCTATTTTATTTTATAATTTATTTAAAAAATAAATTACAAATTTTCGATAAATTGTCGTTAAAGTGACATCTTTTAGATTATTTTGGTGTATAAATTGTATTTTAATGCATATTTCGGTGTTTTTTGTCAATATTTTTGTGCATATTTTGAAATTTTTAATGCTTAAAAATCCGATTCCACTACATATACTAGAAAATAAGAGGAAAAAGAAAAATACTACACAAAATTCACTTTCTACTTAGTAAATAACCAACCATATATTTATTAGAAACATTCACATTGAGTGCATTCTTTCTCAAAAATATAATCGATTTTTATTAAAATTTGTTAAAATTAAATAAAAATTGAATATTTTTTTTTAAATAAATTTTTATATAATTTATTTAAAATTAAAAATATATTTTCTAGATAATTTAAATATTTTTAAATAAACTATAATATTTTAATTGACATGAAGACTAGATCAATTCAGTTAGGGTTTAGTGCTATTCTTCTGACTTTGTCTGCATATTTATATTTGGTATAAATTTAAATCGAATTTTTAAATTAAATTTTAAAAGTTCTAAAATGTGAATGAATAAATAAAAAAATTAAATTATCGCCCCACCTCAAAATTAGACTTTTTTAAAATTTGTTTGGCCACTTAGAGGAGGGGAATGGGGCTAATATCCTGAGTGTTACTTTCAAATTTTTGTTGCTCCTTTTTATGATTTTTGCCTAGATTGGGTAATAAAATTAAAATCCAAAAAATACCAAAAAATTTGGTCAGCAACGCCAAATAGAGGGGGGATTTATTAAAATATTATTTTTGGGTCCAATAAATTATTTCAGTTTTTTAAAGTTTGTACCAGATTGGTGGATATACGGCACAATCTGTATTGCTGCTGGAATTCTTAATATTTTTGCTAATGCCGAATGTCCATTTTGGCGTTTTCTGGCTAGTACTGTTATTGTACTTGGAACTATAGAAACGTTTATATTTTATTTTAAAAAATATTCTTAGTTAAAATAATTAAATGAAACTATTTTAAAAATATTTTTAAAAATACAATTAATTTTTTTAGATTGTTCCTCGTATGGTCTATCAGGTTATTTTTAAATATTGTATGAATGTGTAATTCATTTTTACAATTAAAGAAGGGCGTGTCGACGCAGAAGACCCACAGACAGAAGACCCAAGGACAGAAGACCCACAGACAAAAGACCCACAGACAGAAGACCCACAAGGACAGAATACCCACAGACAAAAGACCCACAACTATTTTTTGTTTCCCTTTTATTGTGCATAAATTTTGGCGCGAGGGATGGTGTTAGTGTTTTCCAAAAAAGGGGTTGACCAACAACGGCAAAGTTGTTTCAATCTTATGGAAGGTTGTTCCAATAGTATGGGACGTTGTTCCTATGACAAGGAAGTTTGTCCCAACCACGGGCATGTTATTTTAACAATGAGGAATGTTGCAACAACGGGTGAAGTTGTTCCAACGATGGGAATATTGTGCCAATTACCGGAGAGCTTGTTTAACGAAGAGGAATCTTGATTTCCAGGATTATCGGGATTTTTATCCGGAAAATCCGGTCCATGTCATGTCAAAAAATCTGGATCCGATCAGGTTCGGATATAAAAAATAGTATAAAAATAGCTAATTGCCTTCTAAAATTCTTTACAACGTCCTGTGTCTTCTTGTCTCTGACGATGAAAGGGAAATGTAGATCAAAGGGATATTTAGAATCAAGGGGTATTTAGGATTCAAGGGTATTGAAGATATGCAAGGATATCGGGGATCTTTGGGATAGTAAAGATTATTTAATTAATTTTGAGTAACATGGAGGGATATCGGTGGATAAAACCGGATTAGTGGTAAAAGCTTAAAAAGTTTACATCCCTAGAAATTCCCTGACATATCCGATTTCTGTTAAGATATGTATTTCTTATCCTGGTTCCTGTTATAAACAATTCACGGATAAGAATTGATATGGTGGATTCGAGATTTTACCCGTATATTCTCTATTCCTACATATCCCAATTAATCACCCGACTCTTCAAATCACTTTCTAATTTGATGATCTAAATCGCTCTCATCTATAAAATTTAACGCTAAAAATTTTATTGATTAACTTTATAATAAAAATTTTTTATATTTTAAATTTTTTTTAATTTTGTGCCTTGAAAAATTGCAAATCTTTTTCAGGAATTTCAGAAAATTTCTTCTAAAGTACTAGTTAAAAAATTTTCTTGTGGGTCTTTTGTCTGTGGGTATTCTGTCCTTGTGGGTCTTCTGTCTGTGGGTCTTTTGTCTGTGGTTCTTCTGTCCTTGGGTCTTCTGTCTGTGGGTCTTCTGTCACTACGCCAAAGAAGGGTATATGTTATAAATCTCGGGGTCAATTCCGCATATTATAGCACTGCTAAAGCCTGATTTTTTGGTTTACCGGAACTTAACTTTCCGGTGTAACTGAACTAGAATTGTTTAGCTATCAAAATTTTATAAAACTAAAATTCGATCAAATGTTTGATTAAATTTCCAAATATCTCAACTCTATTAATTAAAATTTCCTAAAAATAAAATTAATTTTTTATACAGACTTGTCGAACAATCCTCTTTCTTAAATATAGAGGCAAGGGATGCATTAACCGGCCAAACACTTCCCTCGGCTCGAGATGAATTAGCTACAGAGGGTCGTTTAATTTTATTGCCTGCTTTAGCTACTTTTTTGACAATATCAACTCGTTTGGGTAATTCTTCCTATGAATGGCGATTAATTGATATTATTAGAACACTTTTACTTTTGACTTTTATGGTAATTTTTTTAAATAATTAAACTAGAAATATTCCCTTTTTAGTTAGCAATAATACCTGCATTGCTCTACTCGTTTACTTTCTTCGTTCCTGGATTAGCAATCATTGTCAACAATACTTTTGATAAATATTGGGAAGTACTTTCTCCTTCAATTAATACATTATTTTTTTGATAATAATTTTATAGCTACATATTCTACTATCATTTATTTTAAAGAATAAAATTAAAATGCATGGTAATACAATGCTCATGTTCGAGGATAAAAAAGGTTTTTTTCGTAGAGAATTAATGAAGTTATATAATAAATTTAAACTAAATGACGTAGTCTGCGATTGAGACAAAATATCTGCGCGATTATCAGGGTTCTCTTCGACCCCAATATGAATAAATTATCTCATAACTATGTCAAATCTCGTTCAATTAAGATGTTTTGTGTCATTCGACATAGCTTGTTGAGTTCTTTCGAATAATATCGGTTCAGTCATTTCTTCTTATTCTTGGTATCATTGAATGGAGAATTAAAAGGTTTACTAAAAAAATCATAATTTTCGACCGATTGATAAAAGTCACTATAAGGTGCACTACAACTTGAAAAGTAAATAAGTTAAAAACTGATTAAAAAGTCAAAACAAAAAATGTAATTTTAATTATTTATTCTATAATAGAAATAAAATAAGTTAGAAGAGTATTAAACATGTTAAAAAATTATAAAACAGGTAATACTTTTTGGGTTACACGCTCTCCTCCTTTTCCTAAACATTATTATTTTTTTTGTTTGATAAATAGGTAATTTACATATTATTTATCATTAGAAGATTTTCAGAATGAAAGTATATTTGAGATATTGAACAAAAATTTAAATTTGGAAAAAAAAAGACAAGAAAAATTTTTAAACAAAAAAAACATTTAAAAATTTAAAATATCCAAAAATAAGCCAAATAAAAATAATATCCAACGAGTTGGATTCGAACCTTGAACTCTTTATATATTTTATAAAGCGTTTCTTGATAAAATTTGGAATTATACACCTACACCAAACAACAAAGACAGGAATTACAAGGGATAAACAATTAGGCTAAAGATACAATGTTTTTGTTTTTTTCAAATAGAAGAGCTCTTCCAAATGATATACTATTTTTAATTTACCATAAAGGAGAAAAATAGAAAGGAAAGAGGTAAACCGCAAGTATTACCAAATATAAGAATAACATTAAAACAACATCATAAAATCCTTCAATTCAGTATTTCTTATCCAATTTGGTTAACCATCGGAACATTTTTTAAATGTACATTTACTAAAATATAAATGAGAATTAGTGTTTTAAATTTTAAAATTTGCTCGTACTTTCTCGTACATAACTAATTTTTTTCGCTCTTGTACATTCTCGTAATATGCAAAATATTTAGAATTTTTAAAATTTATTGGAGCTAAGGACATCTAGATTTAGAGGCTTAGCATCTATACAATAATTTTTTAAGGCTTTGAAGTTATAAATTTTTACATTTCTTTTTAGTAAAAGTATGTAGTTTTCGAGTTAATTTTTAATCAGATAAACTTACATTTTCTTTCTCCTTAGTTATATGTCCACATTTCTTTTTAGAGACTAAAAAATATTTTTAAATCTATTTCAATTTTAAAGTTAAAAATATTTATTTTTGTTTCGTAAACTTTTTCGTTCTTATTTGTCAACTTTTCAACCATTAAAATAACAAAAATCCTCAAATCCCTCAAACTATAATCCATAATGGAGTCTGTGCATCAAACACAATTTTCCAGAAATCAAAATTTTTTTTGTTACACATCTGAACACCTGAAGTAAATCCTTGCACATAATTATTGCTGTTGACCAACATTTGTGTAAGAATTTCATTGGAGAATAGATCAGTATTTTTTGAAATTTTATTAACTAATTTAAGCTGCTCTACCATTAGCTTTGCATTTTCCAATTCAATTCTTCTATCCGTATTTATTTTACTTTTTAAATGTTGTTTAGGTTGTTTCAAATTAATATTAAATTTTAGTTTCCTTCTTTAATATAAAAAATTTTAAAAAATAATTTTTAAAATATAATCAAAATTACAGCTGATTACATAGTATGTATACATAAAATAAACGGTTATAATTATACATATTTTCAATAATAAAATAAAGTTAAAGGGAGATGAGAAATAAAGGAGCGGGTTTAGATGGAAAGATTTTTTATTTTTCCTAAGTTCCAACTTGTTGGTTCCAAAAAATTTAGTAGGAAGAACATGTCCATAGCCACAATCAATTACTTGAGAAATGGCAAATTCAAACAATCCATCATAACCAACAAAGGGTTGTTGTTGTTGAGGTTCAAGTATTTGACAATCCGTCGACTAAAATATTGAAAAAAAAATTAAAAATAAAATCAGGCATAAGGAATTCTGTAAGTTTGACTATCAAGATTTAAAATTAAGAGAAATTCTTTTAAATAAAATTCGCCAAAAAAAATCCTCAGCAATTATAATTTAAAAATAATTCATTTCACCTCAACTTTCACCTCATTTTTGATCGGTTTGAATTTTTTCAAAATTTTGTTGATTGTCAAATCATCTATTTTTAACAATTTTAATTGATTGGACAATTTATCTAAATGGTCTTGGTCTGCTAAAAGTTGGGAAGGATTTGTTGTTGCAAAGTTGTTAGGGGACAATGGAGGACAAAAGCTAATTTTTTCCATTTTTCAGAAGTTTTAGGCCTCAAAAAAAATTTTGATGGGTTTTAATTTTTTTGTTGATTTTTTTTATTTTTCTACGTCAAGATTTTTTGTAGTTAAAAAAATTTTTTTTGATGTCACCAATAGTATTTAATTACAATAAAGCTGTTCACTAGGAAATTAGAAAAAATTTTTAAAATTAATTTTAAAGACTTGAACATAAATCAGTTTAAAAAACTGACTGAAAAAATCAAAACAAACAAAATTTTAATTTTTTAATAGGGATTGAACGAAAAACAAAATCAAGCATTTCCAAAAAAATTTTGAAAAAAATTCTTAAATTTCCAAAAATCAAAAACTAAATAAAATTAAGAGAGATCAAAATTATTTAAATAATTCTCAAAAATTTATTTTTTTCTCTAAATCTTAAAAAGTAATCTGCCCGTTTTTCAATTTAATTAAACTTTGCATTGTTGTTCCATAAAAATCTAAAATTCAAAATATTATTAATTAAAAGCTAATAGTATTTTAGTCGAATAATTCAAATTTTATTGTTTAAAGGCAATTTTCTCAAAAATTTTTTTTGAGAAAGGTTTAGATAAACAAGCGAAAACTAGTTAAACAGGCAATGTAAAATTTAAATTTAAACATAAAAAATATCCCCACAATTTTACACTTTTTCATCAAGGCAATTAATCATTGGATTAGGGCAAAAAATTTAGGAGGGAGTATCTAACCGTGGCGAAAGAAATGGGCAGGGCGTAAAAACTATTCAAGTTCGCAAATTCGTATGTGGATCAGGGAACGAGCCGTCCCGATTCCCGAAAATAGGGAATTCCCTACGTTTTTTTGGGTCGGGAATCCTGATTTCACGAAAACGGGAATTAAATTTTCATCGGGAATTTCCGAAATTGTTCTGAAAAATCGGGAATTTTCGGTAATTTTCTATCATATCTGGCGCTGGAAATGGATGAAATCGGCTTCTTGACCTTCCAAAATTTTCGAAATCTGGTCCGATCAACTGAAGAAACAAATTCGCTCCCAGTCGTCGATTAACCTTATTCACTATCTAGGCCTTATTTTAATTGTCTGCAGATTCTGCGGATAGAATTCTGTGAACAGATTCATTTAAGTTATGAATATTATAATATTTTTTAAATAAATTATTATTTACATAATAATTAAATCATACACATATGTAGTACGTACAATTTAATTTAATTCGATTTAAAATTTATATGAATCAGTATAAAATATTTGGAACTTTCCATAAAACGATGGCTATGTTTTATTTAATAATTAAATACAAATTATTTTAAATAAATGTTTTTATTTATTGCCTTTTTGATTTTAATTTATCTAAATAAAATAAATGGATTAAAAACAATTGAAGGGATTGAAATTAAGAATATGACAATTTGTGAAAATTTGGATTTAATAAAAGAAATATGGGAAAATTGTAAAAAGTAAAATTTTTTTTAAATAATTTTGATAAATGTTTTATTGGATATTAAAGACAGAGTAAAATGTACTCTAAAATTCCCAAAACAGTTTAATTAAAATAAAAATATTTTCTTAAGATTAACATTTTGTTATCCAAATTTACCCACAAACATTAATTGGAAAATTAATAAAAGATTTGAAATTAATAAAAATATAGCTTTATTAAATAATAATGAAAGAAAATGTAATGAATTGTCAATAATTGAAAATGAATTAAATAATGGATTGGAAATTAAATCAAAATTATTTTTAAATAATTTAAAGTAAATAATTTTATTTGGATAAAATATTTTCAAATAAAAATTACTTAACTTTGTTATAAATTGAATAATCTTTCATGATCAGGTTTTTGGTATCTTAATTTGACGTAGAGGCCGGACTGGAAAGATCGTATGATAATCGAGATCTCAAAAATATCGGTCTCGATAACTGAAACTTTTTTCAAGATCTTTAATGAGAAGCATAATTTTTTTTATCAAAATCATTTTGTGAAAAATGTTTATAATTTTATTTCCTGATTTATCATTTAAAAAATAATTAAATCTTTAAGTGGAACTCTCCATATTGAAAATGTTAGTATTGTTGAAGTTATCGAATTCCTTTTTGACTGCGTTCAATCAAACAAATTAAATAAAGGTTAGCTAATAAATTTAATTAATTTAACTAAAAATTTTTTAGAAAAAATAATTAATTCAAATCTAATTGACCAAAAATATGCGAACGAAGAAAAAGAAAATCAGTTCCCATATATTGCTGATTTTCTTGGAATTTTGTCTTTAAAAATGCAAATTAATTTAAATACTTTAGGAAGATCAAGAGATTTAATTGTTAATAAAAATATTTTAAATAAAATTGTTGATAGATGTCCAAAATATATGGTAATTATATATGTAAAAGATAAATAATTTGGGATTAGAAAAGGGAAATATTTTCAAATTAGTCCTATAATTTATGTGTGTTCGATGTAAATTTTTAACAAATTAAAAAT